ACCAAAAAGAAGGTGAAATCTCTCCTTCTTTTTCGAAACAAAAACCAAGTGAAAAAGAAGATAACCAATTCAAGTTAAATTTTACACATTGGGCACAGGCAAAAAACACGAGATAATTAAGAGGATTACATTAAAGCTCATTCGAGAGGAGAAAATGTCTGAATTAGTGAAAAAAAGTTAAAAAACAATTCAGAGCGGACACAAATTAAAATTTACATAAAATATTAGAGAATTTAACAAATTTACACAAGAATAACGTGGGATAATTAGCGACGAGCGTAGAGACTGACTGACGAGCTGAGTGAAAGGGCTGACTCAATCAGTTTTCGAAATGCTAATTCATTGATGTTTGAGCGGGGGATGATGACCTAATTTTGAGCCGAGGCGAGAGGTCTGGATGGGGTGCACGTGCACTGTAGAAAGCAGTTCCAGTCAGGGGATGCGGGGGTGGACGATGCACTGGCCGCGGCTCAGGTCATTCATCGCTCGAAGTGGCCCAAAACAAAGGAAGAAAGTGACGGGGCGGCCTGGAGGGTTGCGACTCGGCGTGCGGCGCGGCGTGACAGGAAGAAAGTCATAAAACCAGCCGAGGCTGCGCAAGGTTCATCCCTTAGCGGGTATTTTCTCCCGAACGAGACGGATCAGCTGTTCATGCTGAGGTTAAATGGGAACGTTTAACCTATAGAAATAACACTAAAATATTTCTATTTACACACATTTAAACGTAAAATTTACAACAATGCAGAGGCCCAAATCTCAATCGACGGGAAGGCGAAAGAGTTTCACGAGCGGACGACGCAATGTGTTGGCCGTTGTTTTCACGGACGCGACACGAACAATGCCGTCTTTGCCTGGATGCAGCTCGATGACTCGTCCCATCTGCCATTGCAAGGACGGTGCATTTTCATCCTTGATGAGGACTAAGTCACCAACAGCGAGTGTTTCAGCCGCTTGAGTCCGCCACTTAGCGCGCTGTTGCAGAGTATTGAGGTATTCCAATGACCACTGTTTCCAGTACTGCTGGGTAATTTGCTGTAAAAGTTGCCATCTGGAGAGGCGGTTTGAAGGAGTTGACGACCAGTCATACTCTGGCAAACTCAGGAGCGGGCCGCCGATGAGGAAGTGAGCGGGCGTAAGTACATTGAGGTCCTCCACATCAGAGGAAATTGGGCAGAGAGGTCTAGAATTGAGAATAGCTTCAATTCTAGTTAGGAGCGTAGTGAATTCCTCAAACGTCAATTTTTGATCACCTAATATTCTCTTTAGGTGGAATTTCACTGATTTGATGCCAGCCTCCCAAATGCCACCAAAATGGCTGCCGATGGGTGGCGAGAAGTGCCATTTGATGTTTTTCGATGTTAAATGTTTTGTGACCATTTCATTTGACTTGTCTTCACGCAAAAATTCATAAAGCTCATCCAAATAATTATTTGTGCCCTTGAAATTTGATCCATTATCCGAAAAAATGTCAGTGCACATGCCTCTGCGCGATGTGAATCTCTCCAACGCGGCGATGAATGCTTCCGTAGTCAGATCGGAGACAAGCTCTAAGTGAATTGCTTTCGTTGCCAAACAAATGAATAAGCATATGTAAGCCTTACGAGAGGGTGCATTTCGTCGCTTAGAGTCTTTGATCAAATACGGACCACCAAAATCTGTTCCAACTTTCAGGAAGCAGCGCGCGGCAGGGACGACGCGGGACTCTGGAAGTTGCCCCATTTGCGGCGCAACATTTCTGGGAGCGGCTCGGAAACAAATAATACATTTATGAAGTTGAGCTTTAATCGCACAACGAGCTGAAAGAATCCAATAACTTTGGGATATGATGCTTTGCAGTAAGCGAGGTCCGGCGTGAAGATTCTGACGGTGAAAAAAGTCGATGATCAATTTGGTCAGCTGAGCGTTTTTTGGCAAAATTGCCGGATGCTTGGCGGCCATCGGCAAGTTGGATTTATCAAGTCTACCCCCCACCCTAAGCACTCCTAGGGGATCAATGAAGGGGTTCAAACTTAAAATTTGATTGCTGACCGTTTTTCCGCTGCGTAGTGCTTGAATGTCTTGAGCAAAATTTTGAAGTTGAACCAATTTTAAAATTGTCAGCATGGAGGAGTTAACTTCTTCAATTGAAAGTTCTCCTTGAGCAATTTTCGTGGCTGAATTTTTCTTCTTTTGATCAATTTTAGCTCGACAATTTGAGACGAATCGAAAACACCAGGCAATTGAGTTGCGAAGTCGAGTCAGGCTTGAAAAACGGCTTAAAATATCCGTGGTTTGGGCAATAAAGGCTTTTTTGACATTTTTGAGCTCAGGGATAGCCTTTAATTTTA